CAACCCCCCCTGGATCCGCCACTGCTACCCGTCGCGATATTTTTTGGATTGCTAGAGCTGCACACAGACTTATATTATTTATTGCTTTGCGACACAAGGCTAATTTTCATTGTCTTTTGTGGGCAGTGAATTTTGAAATGGATTACGGATCAATAAGGTCTAGAAATACATTTCGGAATACTGTAACAAAAATCATGAATGAAATATCAAGTTTGTATAGTATTCTCATTTTTAAAGTATCGATTGTTATTGTAAATTCATTACTTCACTATGTTTTCTAAACTGATTTGTACCAAAATACTTTGTTTAGAAAGCGGGAAAGTAATAAAAGAGCGGGAAAGACTAAAGTAATGCAGTATGAAAAATGGTTTACGATAGAAAGAGGAGGAGGAGGGGAATTAAATAAATAATAAGTCAATACCAAAATGACAGCATGGGTAAGGTGGTTGGATGGGGGAGGGGAGGGGTGGAGGAGGGAGGGTCAGGTGCGAACACATGGGGGGGGGGGTTGGGGGTTGGGGGTTGTGTGTGTGTTTTGGAGAAGAAGAAAAAAAATGTGCTAATGGTTGATCTAAAATAGGTGACCCTACCCCCCAACGGAACGATCGGTCAAATCTTCAAATTTTAGGGGGAAAACAAAATGTGCTCTTATACCCGGGGCCCAAAGGCTAAATTGTTTTTCCTATGAACTATCTATAGTACTTGCGTATGCGCAAATGATCATTTTCCTCGACGACATAAATATACGAATTTTTTAGTAAACTTAGTCAGCATCGTAGCTATATATTTTAATGCAGGCGCGGAGCTAGGATCTTATTTTAGGGAGGGGCGGTAGTGAGCAAGCGAATCACTTAAAGAGCGCGCGTGTGGTTGATAGGCCTCCCGCGCGAAGAAGACGATTTATTGTACCGTTCTCGACTGTTAATCCATGTCTGAATGAAGTCCCCCCTCCCCCTCTCGCGCGAAGCGCGAAAGCTTCGATGTTTCATTAAATAATAATAAAAAGACGACGATTTGCTGTACCGTGCTCGACTCTTAATCCTTGTCTGAATGAAGTTTCTCCCCCTCCCGCGCAAAGCGCAGAAGCTTTGACTTTTCATTAAATTACGAGAAAAAGCAGACGATTCGTTGTATATTTCTCGACTCTTAATCCTTATCTAAATTCAGTTTTTCCCCCTCCCGCGCGAAGCGCGGAAGTTTTGACGATTCATTAAATTACTAGAGAAAGTAGACGATTCGTTGAACCGTGCTCGACTCTAGTTTGAATGAAGTTCCCCCCCCCCCTCGCGAAGCGCGGAAGTTTTTACGTTTTATTAAATATTAGAGAAAGAAGACGATTCGTTGTACCGTATTCGACTCTTAATCCTGGTCTGAATTCAGTTTCCCCCTTCCCGCGCAAAGCGCGAAAAGCTTAGACGTTTGATTTAATTATTATAGAAAGAAGACGATTCGTTGCACCGTTTTCGACTCTTATCAAGCCCTATTTATCTGAATTCAGTTTCCCCCTCTCGCGCAAAGCGCGGAAGCTTTGACGTTTCCTTAAATTATTAGAGAAATCAGACGATTCGTTGTACCGTTTTCGACTCTTAATAAGCCCTATTTGTCAGTGAATTAATTCCCCCCCCCCCTCTCGCGCGAAGCGCGGAACATAAATTATTAGAGAAACAGACGATTCGTTGTACCGTTCACGACTCTTAACTCTAAGATTTGTCTGAATTCAGTTTCCCTCCTCCCGTGCGAAGCGCGGAAGATTTAACGTTTCCTTAAATTATGAGAGAAAGCAACCGATTCGTTGTACTGTTCTCGACTCTTACTCCCTATCTTAATTCAGTCCCCCCCCCCCCCTCCCGCGCAAATCGCGGAAGCTTAGACATTTCCTTAAATTATTAGAGAAAGAAGACGATTCGTTGTAGCGTTCTCGACTCGTCTAAATGAAGTTTTCCCCTCTTGCGCGAAGCGCGGAATTTTTGTCGTTTCATCAAAATATAGAGAAAGGAAGACGATTTGTCGTACCTTTGTTGACTCTTAATCCTTGTTTGAATTTAGTTTCCCAGAAAATTTTGAACCTCCGATTTCTTTAGCTGATATTATAGGAAAGTGAAACTTCGAGAAAATGCAAGTATTGTAGTTCTAGTCACTCTCGAAGTCGTCACAGCGGATAAAAAGTCACAGTTCCTAGGAAAAAAAAACTTGTCGGCCGAACGACATATACATCTCACCAACTTCAAACTTCTGCATTGAAATAGTACACGAGGATCGAGCAAGAATACCGACACATCTGACCCGACACAGCAACATATTTACCCGTGTCTTTCTTGCTCCCTCGACGAGACGACTCCACCCAGCAACAACCCCTCTCTCTTTTACCCCCACTCCTCCTCTCTCAGGCTCTTACAGTTACATCCCCTCTCTCTCCTTTCTTTCATCCCCCGTTTCTTTTGTTTCCCTTTTCTCTTTTTTCTTCCCCCCCCCCTTTTCTTTCTTTTTTTTTCCTTCTTTTCTTTCTTTTCCTTTCTCTCCTCTCCTCCCTCTTTTTCTTTTCTCTCTTTCTTTTTTCTCTTTTCTTTCCTTTCTTTTCCTTTCTTTCCTTTCTTTTCCTTTCTTTCTTTTCTTTTCCCTTTCTTTCTTTCTTTTCTTTCCCTTTCCCTCTCTTTTTCCCTCCCCCTTTTTTTCTTTTTTCCCTCCCCCTTTTTTCTTTTTTCCCGACGGCAGCGCAATTTTACCGACAATATCCTGACAGGTGGGGGGGGGGGGGTGTTACAACCCCACACCCCCCTTTGGAGACGCCCCTGCCCCCCCCTGCTTAAACAAATTGGCAACAGTAAGAACCTCCCCTCGCACTGGCTAATACATGTAAATGGAAGATTGCAAATACAACTAACCAGCTTTTCCTGGCCTGTAAGAATGTGTCGCTTTTTTGGAAGATTGTATCCAAATTAATTGATACTTTTTTTTAATTAAAGAATCTTTTTGAACGAAAAAATGATTTTGATAGGTCATAAAATAGAGAGAAGAGAAATGAATCTTTTCAATCTTATTTTAGACTTTGCTCAGCTTATTATCTGTAGAAACTAGAAACTGTATTAGAAAATGTTTTGGAAGTGAAAAGCCCCTTGAAAAGCACAGGATACATGCTGTATATTTGATAAAAGAATTAAAGGTAGAAATTCGCACCTATCTTGATATGAAATGTAATCAAAAGAAATTCGATACAAACAAGTAACACAAATATGTTCATTATTTTAATGAGTGATTATGTCACATTACTTTCATGTTTTTTTTTTAATATACATAATAATGATATGTTACAATCGAATGAACTATGTATATAAACATTGTTGTAAATAGCTGTTTTTTATGATATGAACAAATAAAGTCCCTCGAAAGAGGATAAATGGGGAAATAAATACATAAAAAGTGGAAGCAGTGTGCACTTTTGACCCTCCAAAATTTCCCCATGACTAGACGGATGCAGAAGCGGAGTTGAGCCCCTCTGACAAAAGTTGTGAATAGCGCCATCTATAACAGTAAACATAACACATGTCAGCATCCGATTTCTCTTTTTCATCTTCGACCCCCTTCGACCCCCTGTGAAAAAAGAAAAAGAAGATGAAACAGATAAAGAAGAAAAGAAGAAGAAGGGGGAGAGAAGAAGAACAAGAAGAACAGAAGAAGAAGAAGAAGAAGAACTTAAAGAAGAAGAAGCTAGAAGAAGAAGAAGAAGAAGAAGACGAAGAAGACGAAGAAGAAGAAGGAGGAGGAGGAGGTGAGGAGGAAGAAGAAGAAGAAATGGTAATGGTAATGGTAATGGTTTTATTAAAAATTCATTTGCAGCCAGATGGTTGAATTGCAGAACTTTGTACATTGTAAAAACATAAATATTTATACAAACATAAAACGTATTGAGACATATCACGCAGTGATTGAATTTTAAATAAATCAGTGTACACATATATATATACAAATTAATACAATTCATAAAATTCGCTTAACATTCTATTCCACAATCATCATAGGGCTGGAGGGAAATATAGAAGAGAGGTAGGGAGGATAATAGTGCAGACAGCACAGGAGATCCAGGAAAAGTGTGATATAGAGACAGACAGAGAGGGAGAGAAAGAGACAAAGGGAGAGAGGGAGAGAGAAAGAGAGACAAGGCGAGAGATAGAGATATATATATATATATATATATATATATAATAAATGATGCTGAGGATGAGAGTGTATATCAGACATATCGAAAATAAGGTAAAAAGTACAATTTCGACAGAGAGAATACTGGTTGTAAAAATTAATAAATTACATTTTACATTTTCATTGGTGAGTTATGGATAACATATATTGTAAATTGATCGGTAGGTATGCAATCAGATGAGAGACATGAAATATGGTAAGAAGAAGAAGAAGAAGAAGAAGAAGAAGAAGAAGAAGAAGAAGAAGAAGAAGGAGAAGGAGAAGGAGAAGGAGAAGGAGAAGGAGGAGGAGAAGGAGGAGGAGGAGGAGAAGGAGGAGAAGGAGGAGGAGGAGGAGGAGAGGGAGGAGGAGAAGAAGAAGAAGAAGAAGAAGAAGAAGAAGAAGAAGAAGAAGAAGAAGAAGAAGAAGAAGGAGAAGGAGAAGGAGAAGGAGAAGGAGAAGGAGAAGGAGAAGGAGGAGGAGAAGGAGGAGGAGGAGGAGGAGGAGAAGGAGGAGAAGGAGGAGGAGGAGGAGGAGAGGGAGGAGGAGAAGAAGAAGAAGAAGAAGAAGAAGAAGAAGAAGAAGAAGAAGAAGAAGAAGAAGGAGAAGAAGAAGAAAAGAATCTGAGAGTTATGACAACGAAAAAAACATTATACGGTAAGATAATGAATTTTAAAAAAGAAGAAGGAAAGAAAGTTGGAAGAAAAAGAAAAATTTGTTGCACTTAATTTTGTTATCACTGTGAGTTTTTGAATGGAGTGTGGAACTATCGTACCATCACCAGGTACGATCATCTGAAAATCATCGTGTGGACTACGGTACTGCACTGCAGTGAGCTGAGAATTAAGGAAGGAAGGCGACAGCGACACTACTAAAAAAAGGCTTCATTTCCATTGCGAGAAGTTGTGAATAGTCTATCTTTCAAATACGAAGTTTTACACTTTAACTTTAAAATGGGGCTACGATCCAGGGGAAAACTATTACTCTTAATGACTGTTTTTGGTTCATTTTCGCTCCTGTTGTTGCAGTCTCGAAGCGGTAAGTAGATCGTAGATCTAGTCTCATTCTCTGCAGGAAAATGTTCCGCGCCGGTTCGTAGGTTGAACACGCCGGAGTGTGGGCCGACAGGGATGATAGCGCTCCGCTATGATCAAAATCTAAGGTAACCCGGCCCGCCACATTTTTTTTCCCGGACGTTTAAATTAGATCTATAGCTGATATGTTTATATACGTCACTTGGAAAGAGGTCACAAACAACTAGACTTTGATTATTTATTGCCTTGCCTCACTATTTATAAAGGCAAAAAAAAAAAACACTGAATAATTACTGATTGAGATGAGAATAGGGACTTGGATCTAACACTAGTAACAGTTCGACCTTGTCTTAGGCAAGTTAGGGTGTCTGGACGATCGTTATTTTTTAATTTTCCCTTTTTCTTTGATCGTTTGTCACCATTATGGTAGGATATTTGGGAAAATCGTTTACTCAGAGCTACATATTTTAAATTTCGAGACTCATCAATGTTTCTATCAAAAGATACAGCCCCCCAAAATCTAGTCAATATTCATAGCATTTTGGTCAGAATAGACAAAAAAGTGGTACACGCCGAGTTATAATTTTTGCTCAAAAGCTGCACAGCACAATATGCAAAACGTGGAGTAAGGCTAAGGGTATTTTCAAACTGTAACTGCTCGTGATCCCTTGGGACTACAGAAAAAATAAGCGCATGGATATTCCTTACAGCTGACCCAATTTTTCCCTCGGGGGGGCTCACTTCGTGAAATTGGTAAATCTCTGAGTTACCATGGAAACGATGTTTAAATCGTTGTTTTGATCAAGATATTTTTAGAATTTTGGGGGTGAGCCCCTTTGGGGAATATGGAGAAAAACCTGCTCTTTCATTAGACACCTCACATATTGAGTATGAACTTGAGTATCACCTTCAGGATCACAAGCAGTATTGGTTTGAATCTCATTTTGGTAATACAAACATTGACCACTTTTGCAATGCACATGGACTGAATAGGGATGTGTTTAATCTCTATGGGAAGGATTTTAGCACACAAAACTGAGTGCGTGATCAGACACCCTACTGAGAAGTGAGATTCGAACCCACAACTCCAACGTTGTATACATTACACTGTCCTTACCGATTGAACTAACGATAGGTTGATTTGCATGATTGTTATAACTATAACTATCACTAACCCTAACGGTTACCATGAGCCCATGCGCAGGTTTAACTAGCTAAAGAAATGACGCACCCGACCCAGGGACGGTGTTCTGAAAGCTCACTGAAGTCTGAACTTTGCTTTTAAGTTTTAACCTTCCTTTTAATTATATTTCATATTTTCTTCTCATGTTTCCTGTAGGTGAAATGGATGGTAACTACCAGTCCTATGAGAGCCGCCTGGAAGAACTGCGGAACAGACTTCAAAGTACAGAGAGACAGAACCAAGCAAGGGCAGTAGAATTACATCATCTCCAGCAACAGTTGAGGAGGGTTGCTGAGGTGACGGGAAATAGCTCCTATCTCAGAGGTAAACAGACCGGAGAAAATACATTTTGACATGGATATCTATTCATATCATTATAAATAATGATAACTTGGCAATTTGGTTTCCCTTCTGTTAGTGTTACCAAGTATAGAAGTATTTAACATGATTAACATTTAATATGCAGGTAACGGACATAACATTTGATATGTCAGCTGACTTCATCTGAGACTGATGTAAGCTTTTATGATGCTATTTGAAGATATTGTTAAACCCTATAAAATATCTGAACAACTTTAGAATACCCCATCACAAGAGTTGATGTCTTAGGACAACCAACGTTTTACCATTGAAGCTAAATCTAAAGACTTCAGTTTCGTAACTATCCCTCACCCTAAATCTAGGCATTCGATGCTTACTGTATGTACATGTACATAAACCCTATTGGTGGGGTATTTAATTTACAGTTGAGTCAAAATCGGTTGCATGATTTAGATGCATATTGATGGTTCCAAAGTAATTTAATCTTACTAATGTTACCTTGAAGTAACAGGAGATGTTTGATGGCCTTATCTATGGACTTCAAAGTGTGTTAAAGACATTAACATCTGAAAAATATCGGTAGATATCCTCCATTTTTCAAATCATTACTAATCATATTTTCCCATAGCACATTTCCATTTTGATGATATGAATATCAATCCTGTTTTATTGGCAAGGAAACTTGGTGTATTTTTAATTTTTACCAGATGTAAGACTTTGATGTAAGATGTGCTCCATTTGCACTTCATACAATCAGCTCTATCAGAAAATCTCTTGACCCCCAAAATGGCAGAAATACTTGTCCATTTTTTAATACGTCCCAAATTTACTCATGTACATTAATAGCCTTCTTTTGTAATTCATGTAATTATACTGTAACAAGCTACAACAATTTCAAATTTCAGCTGCAAGGCTAGTCACACACACTTTCCCACATATATTCCTGTCCTACATGTACGTAATTTGCATTGGCTCCCTGATCAAGCAAGAATTTAATTTAAAATCCTCCTGTTTCCACTGCTAACAAGGCACAGCACCAGAGACTGTTATCAGTCTCCATGTATCTTATGGCTTAAGTACATAAATATCATATTCCATTTAGAAATCTACATGCACATTCAAAATCCAAGTCCCTTCTTGTTATGACCATTACAAAACTTTCTTTCAAATATATGTGTGCAACCAAAACTCTCAAATTGGCAATTTGGTCAGGGGATTGTGATGTATGCATGGACATCTCTACTGTATGTTGTGTACAAAAATGTCATTAATTTTTGTTTTTCTCTGAAGCGATTCCAACCTTCGGACACTACGGTACTCAAAATAGTTTGATAGCATATAGTAAAGGTGCTCTAAAAAGAAAAGGGCCCTTCTGGGCCATACATTTTGGAGAAAAAAAATGACATTTAGTCAAAGGGGAAGGTTGACTGACAAGTGACAACTGCTACTTCATAGTGATCCAGATTCAGCTAATTTGAAATTCCCATATGTAGTGAATTTAGTGATTAAAAACTTTTTTGATTAATAACTTTTTTACTTTATGTCCAATATCATCCAAACTTTTGCAAGTCGACTTTTCTGATTTTTCTCCTTCCTATCAAATTACTTTTATACTAGGGTAGGATTTCCCTTTAACACACCTACAAACGCAACAGGATGAAGAAATTACTAGGTCATTGAGAATCTTAAGTAGGTTACACTTTTGCATAGTGACGGAAATGTACCCCTCATCAACTCTCAAAACATTCATTAGATGTGTTCACTGCCACCAAATTCGCATAAATTTCTCTTCCTGTCATGTATCACTGCTTATAGCATGTTCAGACTTAAAGAATATATATACAAAGCTTGAATGGAGTCACATTATAAAGAAACACTGTGTAGTGAAAGGAGTGTGCAGACTAGAACACAACAACGATTAAAGACACGATTTATAAAGAAACTGATTTTGAAGAGGTAAGTTGACATGACAGCAGGCCAATCCTCAGAGTGCACTCACGACAAGCCCCACCCAGTGTCAGTGATACAATTTTCGTACGATATGATGTCCAGACTAGAGCAGGGTACTGACTATTTTTTTCTTCAAGTTTTTCTTTGAAACGATGCTTAGACATGTGTTTCACTATATACAACGTTTCGTTTACAATGTTCAGACTAAAAAAAAAAGGTAATTACCTATTGGATGGCTATACATGTACAGTGTACATGTACAATTCTTATATTTTTCTTTTTTATGAATTCTAGTGGTCTAAATGCAGTGTTGGTTATGTTTGAAAGAGGATTTGTTTTGCATTTGATTGAGGCAAACTTTATTTATAAAGTCACATATGACAAAATTAATTTCCTGCATTTCCTTTGATTTGTCTATAAAAAGTTCCTTTACAGGTCGCAGTACTTGTTTTATCAGTAAATATTCTAAAGACCACTTTCTGTCTTTCAGCTCAAATTCAAAATGCAAGTTTTAGTTTACTCTTTTTGAGCCACTACATGTATACATGTATTAAACATCTGAATGCATGTTTTACTCTGGAATCAGAATTTCAACTATTATGTTACATTATCGTCTAACTTTCTACAGGGTTTTTGGTCAGTGTGGTGCAGAAAGATTAGCTCAATGCTAAGTTACGTGCGGGCTCTCAAATTTTATCTCTGTACCCCCCCCCCCCTCCCAGAAAAAAAAAGAAGAAGAAAGTCTATGCTGATATTACAAGGTGCAATATACATGAATGATATATTGCTCATTATTAAGAGTGATGAACTAAATGAGATTTGTCCTTGGCAATTCTCAGATTGATAGTACATGTATGAAGCACGTGATCTAGTTCCTCACAGGAAAGCAATCACATTGCTCATGTATTTTAATGAGATTGCAGCGTTACAAGGCTGCACTGATCTAGAACTATGAAGAGATCAAATTACAGCAGACAGTGTAAATCCATTTGAGAGGAGGGCACTCTGTTCTGTTTTTAACGCCTTTTCAAATTGATGTTGGAATTTCAAAAATTGATTTCTCACCTTGGACAGTAAACATATATGTAGGAAGATGAAGAGGTGTATGTAATTGCATGAGAGTTGAGACATTGTATTCAAATCCAGAGCAAGGAAGGAATCTCCTGCTTTTTTCTGTTATTATTTGTTAATGACTTTTAAAATCAATGATGGAGTTTGAAGATGATTCTCACAAGAGACAGTGCAAACATTGAAAGGTATGCCATATTTCACCGGACAGTCTGAATCTAATTAAAGGGAAAGACTTTGTGTCTGCCTCTGCTGTTGATGTCTTTTCAAATTATGTCAGAACTTGAAAGTTGAAACGTCTCCTTGCACAATGGAGGCGTCCACATGCGGGCTTTCTTTAAAAGACTATAAAAGCCGAGTAAAGGTGATAATATAGGCTACAACTACAAGCAGATGTAAGATCAACGGCTTTATGTTGTATTTATATGTCTTTGGTCATGGGGGGGGGGGGGGATGGAGAGTTTTGGGAAGGGTTATATCAACATTGGGTGGTATTCCGGTAGCGTGTACTAAGTTAGTCCACACTTTTATGGAGTGCCTGTTGCCAACTCATTTACCCTGTACAGATTATTTTAATCCTTCAATGAAAAGTGTCCAAAAAATTAATTTTGCATTGAAATGGGAAGAAAAAGATAATATGATTATGAACTGAATTTCAACAAAGTCTTTGGTAGATTATCTTTGTCATGAATATTGAAGGAGGAAGATGAAACCTAGCATTCCATAGAAGTGTGAACTAAAATTCTAGTTTAGTTTGGACTTAGTCCCAGCTTAACTTATGAGAATACCACCCATAGATTTAAAAAAGGTTTGAAAAATTGAAGATTTATGTATTTTAAATTCTGGATCTGAACCAAACAAGTGAGTTCCAAAATGGCTACAGACTATTGGAGTAAACTTTAAGCCTATTCTACATGGATTTAGCTACATTTCCTAGAAGGCAGCTGTTTAAATCTGGCGCCAATTCCAATATCATATAGGTTGCGTTTATCTAGCAAATTTTTGGCTAGAATCAGGTTTCTCAAACGTCTTTCAGGCAAATTTAGAAGTAGATAAACGCAAAGCCTTTTTTTAAACGTCTTTAGATATGGGCATATCTAAAGACGCAAAAAGGTGCGTTTTGAATGTGACATACAGCCAGAATCACGTTTCTGAGAGATCGATAAACGCAAAGCTGTTTTGAACCTCACATACAAATATGATCACCCAGGTGTTGTGTACAAGCATACGTGTGAAGTTGACCTCCGAGAAACTGTCTGCTTCCCGGGTCAAAACAGCTGGGCAGACACAAGTCTTTATTTTGAATCGTGAAGGGTCGATAAACGCGACATCCCGCAAATCACGATCGTATAGTGGGGTTCGATAGTGGGGTACGATATGTACATATCTAGTGGCAAGCCTAGATAAACGCGCTCTAAGACAGCCAAATGAAAATATATGTCTCTGTGTTATAATGAGAAGTGATCACCAGTCTGGGTAAGCAATGTCTAAAAATGTGCATTTGTTAAGTACTCTTTATTTGGTTTCACTTTTTCAGTACTCTTTCAGTCTTTCTATCTTTCCATCTCTTATCTTCCTCTCCATTCTATCCCTTTTCAATAATTTTGACCATACAGGTGTAGTAGATTTTCTTTTAGTACAAAGATATCCATATCCAGGTCGAAAAGAAATCCTTGCTTACATTTGCATTCCCTGGCTGAACTTTATATAATTGTCTTTCGGAGAGCTGGGCAAATATTGAATGCATTGTGTAAATTCAGGTTGAATTAGGCAAAGAATAAAGCATGGCTGAGGTGATCTGAAATTCTGAAGTGATGATGCCCTAGAAAGTGAATGCTCTAGAAAGTGAATGCTCTTGCCTGATTGATGATGGATGTATGCAATGTTGTCCCACCTTAAACATTGGGAATGAAGGGGTATCACGTATGTTTATTGTACACAATGTGCTGGCGTCATCGTGAGTGGGGCCATTTTGAAAAAGATCCAGATTCCAGAGTAACTTGTCAGATTTGGCCCAAGTTTGCCCTGTCTAGAGTCAAGTTAGCATGATCCCTTGTGTATAAAATACAGGTGAGTTTAATACACGGTGGTGGGATAGTGGGGGGGGGGGGGGGTGTTGCTTCTAGGGTTTAGATCAGAAATAAGTACTGAAGTTATTTTATGAGACAAAGAAATAAGCATGAAATGTAAAATTCGTCATTTGTGACCATAATTAATTAATTAATTAATAAATTGATCACTGATCTTCACATTGCATCACGTTTATTAATAGTTTAGAAGGAAAGCTATTCAAACTTCGTCAACTCCATTACACCACAAATTGAGCTGCATTCTACTGTTAATTTTCCAGTTTCCGCTTGGAAGAAAAGCAAGACATAACGGATATTAGTCATAACTTCGGATCATAATTTAATCAAAATTCACCTAAAATTAATGCTAATCTATTTTATAAATTGAGAATCATTGAGACGTGCTCATACATACTACATGTATTGTATAATTTTTATTTTATATGTATGTCTATATTTTATAGTTTGCACTAAAAGTTCTGGTTTTAAATATTCTTATCATTATTTAGAAACAGTAGGACTAGGATAGTGGTTGTTTAGATTTCCATATCTAAGATTTAACTGCCCTTTCTACGAAAGATCCCAGGAGAATTGTGTAGTGTGTGTCAGGCTTTAGTCCAGTCTACCTAGTGGCAATGATCAGCCTCCGTGGACAATGTACCATCATCACTTGGTACAATAGGCCAGTTTCAAAATGTAAGCACAGGCCTTTGAATTGCATTACGTAATCAAAGGGTTGGACCAACAAAGAACTCGCAGTGCATAGCAGCCTACACTCTGTGTGCGTACAATACACTGTACATGTGTTCGCTTTGTTTGAGGGGTTCTCTGATATTGTGCACTGTGATTGTATCGTTTGCTCTGGCTATTTGATAGAGAGAGAAGAAAAAGGAGGCAGTTTTAAATTATCGGGTATTTGGGTGTTTTCCACTATTCAACGTGTGAAGATGGGCGCGGTTAGTATATTGGTTCCATATGGTGATATGATGCAAGCCCTCAGATAGTCTTTGACTCTATTCTGACTTAGGGGCACTTTGACCCCCACCCTGTACCGTACAAGTACTGTACTGCCCGTCGTAGTTTCCCACCCACAGTCATGCTACTGAGTGACACTGGCCCTATAGGTCCAGGTCTACGATTAGGCTAATCAGCTACATGTACCACCAATCCAAATCTAACAAGTCTTTCCTCGGTGTTTCCAGTGGTCGAAACTCCTCTTGTTCTAAAAAAAATTTGCAGCTGCTTGGTGCTCAACTTGTTGAACAGCAAGTTGTAAGACATTTCCGGCAAGGAACGACAGTCTAATACAAAACGCACAGGTTCAAAACGGCAGTATGAGAAAGCTTGTCTGACCTAGTTACAGTAACCCGGCATTACACCATGGACCAAAAGCAATCTTTAAACAGTCTCAAGGGTGTGTTGCAGATGAGGGAAAGGTCTGAGTAACCCTAGATGCCCTTTTTGACAGCTCTATCAAAGACAGGAAAAGTTTAATCACCATGCTGGAATAGGTTTGTCAGCTTTTGCGTGGAATCAGGAAACAGGGTTGCCTTTTGGCTTCCTCTGCTCTAGTCCAGTTCACCTCACATGCCCCTTTGCAGGATAGGCTCCCACGCCATGTGAAACTCCCATGGATGGACCTTTACAACAGTGAACAAATACACAGGGGCAGTGAGTGATTTTGCTTTGGAAAGCTCCAAAAGAGCTATGGCTAATAATAGAAGGAAAAAAAAGAATGTAAAATTCTAAAGAATCAATGCATTCAAATTTTGCCCTTTTCATAGCAAATTTACTCCCCGCCCCCCCCCCCCTCCCCCCCCCCCCCCAAGAAAAAAAAGGGAAAATTACCTGCTGTAAACAAAACCATTTTCTACACAGCTTTAGAGCTTTGAACTTATTCTTATTCCTAAAATGATAACTCTTTGCAAAATGGCCACCCTAAATAAAAGTGGTCTTTAAAGAATGTTCTACCAGAATTTGCTGTACATCATCTAGTCGGTAAGCCAGCTATGAGTCCTGGCCCGCTGCATAATACTGACCATTGACCATTTCATAACGTAGTTAAAGTCCAAAGACACTCCCAAAATAATTTGCTTTTGATAGATGCAGAAAAACATGAGAAACAGAGCAAAACAAATTTGAGTAAAATCAGATCATTAATAAGGAAGTTATGAATTTTGTAAAAAGTATGAAAAACTATGGAATTAGAAAATAACTTTGCCATCAATATTGATTACCATGGCAAATTAATCGACAGCCAGTCAAATCAACGTTTCCATGGAAGTTACCATTTATGGCAAAGTTACCCTCTATGGTACAGTATGTAAGACCCGTTCTCACTCATTTCCTAGACCGATCCATTGTCAACAGCCATTTTTTTTTTTTTTTAAATAAATGTAATGCTTCCTGGGAGAAATTTTAATAGTTTAAACATATATGTGGCTTACACCCAGTAAATAAGATTGATTGACTTGTTTTTCAATAACAGATCAATCAATCAATCTTATTTACTGGGTGTAAGCCACAAATATGTTTAAACTAGTCATTTTTTTGTTACAGAACTAAAGAACTGCATGACCTTGTCCTGTGGAGTATGTTTTCTATTGGAGGACTTCTTATTGAGAGTCAAGTCAATGACCTTTTATTGGGAATGTTCTTTTTTTTTGGTATTAAGCAGCAGAATGAAACAGTACTATTATGTAACATAATAAAATTGCTATATATCTTTGGTGGTCATGGTTTCCTCCCCCTCCTCCTCCCCCTCCCCCTCCCCCAAGCAAGCTGTTTTAACAATTAATTTTGTGATATCCAGAATTGAATTATTGAACTGATGAATCATAATATTTACCGGTAGTAGTTTTTTTTAGTCTCATCAGTGCCTTCGATCAGGCAAGTAAATACTGGCGCTCTACAAATTTCCAGATTGGATTGGATTAGAATTAGATATCAAATATTCTAATTTTTTATATCACGAAATAGGATGAAAAGTTAAAACAGCTTGCCACTGCTAGTGGGAATGGAAACTTCATTGTTAATTCAAAAACGCTGGTCAGACCTTGCAGATTAAAAAGGAAGAAGATAACTTTAACGATAGATCGTTCTTTAATCGCTCCCCTGTGGTTAATGTGGCTGGTGGAAAATAAATTGGAAAATATCGGGAACGCTCAGCAGTTTTTTCAGGGCAAGTCGCAATCAAAATATTGTATGAGCCAATGATAATATTGCACTTTATATTTGTTGTGACATCAGTGGCAGAAGGGTTGGAGACATTGTCTGTCGTGTTCAATTGAAAGAACCAATGATTTTTTGGTACATTATATGTGCATACATGTACCTGTATATCGTCATGATGGAGGGTGAGGTCAGACCTGGGGGGCGTTTCACAAAACTTGTCATCTGTGACAGCTGACATGTTTGTTATAAGCTACTAAAATCCTTGATTCTGATTGGTTATCATGTGATTTGTCACTGATTTTTGTCATTTGTCATTGAAAAAAGGCTTTGTGAAACGGGCCCCAGGCCTTAAAGTTGTTTCACTATTGAATGGTGCATGTCTTCTTTATGAATCAAATCTTCATAATGTACTTAACTGTCATCACTTTTTCTCTTCAGATGAGCATCTCAACCCTCTGCTGGCTCAGCTCAACGCTCAAAACCTCAACATGTCTAACTTCCTCCATCTTCCGTCCGTTCTGGAGTACATGCCTCACCTTAAAAAGAACCCTGTGGGACTCCAGCCTGCCTTCCAGCTTTCTCAGGGCAACACTGGAGGTAAGCCACTTTTTACTTGTGTGAATGTGTGTGATATGTTCCCCATTATTGTCAGTGAGTTACAATAGACCCATTTACACACACAAAAAAACAGCACACATTTAATTGAATCATGATTGGTTCAGATCCCTTTTTTGTACATGTGTAATTATATCATGGGAGACTACCGGTAAGTCATCATTAAATCTTTGAATATGTAAATAAGAAATCAAATACAGACAAGGAACATTTTACAAATTGAAAATTAATTACATCAAAGCAAGTCAATGTACTGTAACTGCAGTAGGAACTTATCTATACAATGTGAATTAGACAACATTGCTTCACAATTTCCAATGGGAAGAAATGGCCATTATGAACAGGTGGCCATTATTGAAGAGGGCCCACCCCTGTACTTTAAATCCAATATACTTTATACAAATAATTGTTTCCTTTCCGTCTCCATTCTATAGATTCATATACATGTATTACTCACCATGTTAAGCTGCCGTGTTAGTATGGTAATTTATTCCCTGTAGTGCGCCATTCCACCCTAACTAGCCATGAGCAATGGTTCGATTTAATCTTTAAGGGTGTATTCCCAGTTGTGATTCTTCATGCCATATTTGACATCATTAAGATTCCATGAGATTGTACATGTACATACATGTTATACATACACACTGTACAGCTTGATTTCGCCACATTATGGATTCAAGCGAGTTATGATAAATGTTATTATCGAAATTACTCCATTAGAAGTAAGTCCTTGCTATTAGATGATGAGTGTTGTCTACCGGTACTCTTTTGGAAGCGATTTGATCTATAATGGTCTTCTAAATTGCAGAAAAGTTTATTTTTTATAGTTCTGGATGACATAAATTCTGTGGGTTATGTGGATTATGAAAAGGTTTTGTAACCTACCATTCAAGGTTATGCTCAAATACATTCCATATGACAGCAAAAAATTGCAAGCACGTAAAATGACAAAATCCAAAAAACCCACCTCTGGAGAGTGGCTTTTTGAAACACTGTTGGAATTTCACTGTTTTTTTTGCAGTGTAAATGCTTGCTCTAAAGTTATATGCTTACATATAGATAAGCAGGGACAGATTAAAGATCAGTGAGTTTGAACTTAGTATATGTGGAGATTTGATGTATTTATATGTAAAAAGATGACAACAGACAAAACAAAGCACATCCCTAAGAAGACGATATCAACCGTTTTCCTTAAATGCAACCTCTTACAGTATTTAACATTGTTGCCTCTTTTTTTTTTAATTTTAAAACTCCATCATGAATTTTGTCCACAGAATTTCTTTGTGCTAAAACAAAAAGGGCAATTGAAGTGCAGTTTCCGGAGACATCAGACAGTATGATTATATTGTCTGTCAGCCTTGACTCTGAACCAATGACCTTTAGGGAAAGGGGTAAAAGGTCATCTGCAAAATGTGTTTCACAGACGGGTTTTGTCCTCCTACTTTTTTCAACAGATGACTGGTTATACCGGGAATGTACATGCAGGTTTGCTGTGGTGGCATAAAAATTGTCATTAGGTAGGACATTAGACTGATATGTATCGTATGATAGAGTGTTCGAAAACACTGAGTGCACCTTTTCATGAACACTGTCTTGAGTATCCACTGAACGATTATTGAGAATCTCAGATAACAAGTTTCAATTTCAATCTCAAGATGTCCGGTTTGTCTGTTTTGTATTCAAATCATAAGTGATTACTAGATTTTGTTGCTTCTATTTTTAGGAACCCGTTTTAATCTGCCTAATGCAGCATATTAATTTGTTTTTCCTTCAGTTTTCTCTCCACATATATGAAACATTTCTTTTCGTACATGTACTTCGGCTTAATATTGTATTGTGTAGATTCAGATGCTATTTTCCCAGCTTTTCTTCTTATAATCTTCAAAGAAAACACAGCCTATATCAAAGGTCTGTATGTAGATTATCATTTGTGTATGTGAGAAGTGTAGCATATTAACATGAAAAGGGTGTGACCCTCCCACACATACACATGTAGGGCCTCCAGTTAACGTTCTTTCCGAGGAACAGAGTTTTTTCCCCTTTAATAACCAGAGCCTGAATCGAGTCTCAAGAACAGAGGGGAGTGGCACGCTTACACGGCAACAGTCATTCCATGACGCCTTTAACTTTAATAGCCTAACTTGTCAATCTGTGGTTGTGGAGCATCTTCATTTGAAGGTCCTATGTGAACTACTGAACTGCAGTCTACATACATGTAGGCTTGATGCATTTCAGACCTTTTGAGCTTTAGAACTGACAAGAGTTTAAGGTCATGCTCGTACATGTAGGACACATGCTCCTTGCCTTCCAAAGTTTCTCTACATCAGTTTCCAGTAATGGAATTCTGAACTCCGACCCTGACCCTACTCCAAACTATAAATCTACCCCCTTTAAACCTAACATTAAAAATGAAACAGTTGTAATCCTAACCCTAATGCTAAACCTGTGATAAAATGAAGCCTGAAGTCCCCAGAGCAGAAATCAGATCACCATTTGTGCCATCAAGCTAACTTGAATATGAATCCTGTAGCTAGAATGGATGGAGTCGGAATGGGTGATGATTGAGATGCTAATCGGCATGTGAGGTTGTAAGAGCTTGGCTCGTGGGGCCGCGAGAAGCATCTCGGAAGTCATCAATGATACCCCTCCTCATTCATCCTCTTGATGCTTCTCTAATACAGAATGCATGAACTAAACAACCTGCCTTAAGACTCTTATATCCTCTCCTTTGTGACTTACTTGTAGGTGTTCAGTTCAATTATGCAATAGTATCGTAGAAGTCTTTCAATGCTGCCATCTTGCATAGTGGGCACCTTGTATTTTATCACTTACTGGAGATTGTGAAAATATGTGCTAATTTGCAATGCAATGAATTAGGGAGCATCGTTGAAATAGCCCACCCACATGTTCAGGTGTGGGCTAATGCTAAAGATGATAGCTGGTGTATTGACAGTTTTTATTCGGCTTTCTTAATAAGAAACTTGAAGTTAAATTGTAGAATGCAAGACATTCTCTTCATTTAACCTTCAAGATCCTGCGAGTGGAGAAGATAAAAAAGATCATCAGAAATGATCTCCAAATTTTGAGTAAAATCTGTAATATAACTACATGTATATTCTATTATCCTATCCATTATAAATTTTAATCATGTATTTATATAAATTAGCAATATTTTCAGTTGTTGACATAGAAATGACGAGGTGAGGTTTGTCCACCGTTGGAACATGCCACGCGCAGCTGCCTGTAGCAGATTACTGAGGCATTTTCCCCTCTCTTTTTCTGTGAATTATCAATGAATGGCATATACATGAAGGCAGGGATTAATTTTCCTGGTATCGCATCGCAATTTGCTACGCATTTTTGCATGACTGCTATACAAAATATTGTTTGTGTAGCAGTTTTCTTCCATAGAAATGTACAGAATTTCATTTGAAATATTTATCCATCAGCTGAAATTGCTAATCAAAATATTTGAGGAAAATTATTCCCTGGAAGGGATAAAAAAAAGTACCTTCGTGCAATGATGCGTAATGTGTGTTATGAGATGTAGAAATGCAAAGTGCAGTATGTTCAGTACACAACATCTACCTGGGTTTTACATGGCAGATGAGAACAAACCAAATGAACATTTTGAATATTGATCTACATGTACATCCTGAGACCTGGAGAATAATAGGTTGTTTATTTATTGATTTTGGGGGATAAGGGGCGGGCCGGGGTTAAGAGCTATTACGTTTTAATCGTTGCAACATTTTCTGACTTTTGTCCATCCATTCATAGAAGCGATGGCTCAGTGGTAGAGCAGTGGTCTCATAACAGGGAGGTTCCAGGTTTAAAATTAAGTCCATGCCATAGCACCCTTTTGTAATGTATTAATCCCTAACACCAAGTCCCTCTGAGAGGACTTAAAGCCATCGGTCACCTGGTTGCTTACTTACAAGCATACACATGCTTTCTTAGCCGTCAGGTAAAACAAACAAACAAACAAACAATATGCCCTTCTTTAAAATACAAATACAAAAGCCCATCCCTTCCCTTTCCACTTTTAAAGGGCAATGTATTGATCCATCAACGTCATATGGACTATCGATTATTCCATTGATCTGTAAACATCTATCACCCAACTCCAGATATATTTTTCTTCTTCTCTATTTACTTGTGGAGAAATTGGCAAATATATATTTTTAGACCGGCGCACAAAGTGGTATTAAAGTTGATTGATTAGAAGTGCAAACACCTTTATTTTCCTACCATTCCCAGTAGTTCCTCTACTCTATTAATCATGGTTGATCTTTGGAGTCATCAGAAGGGCTTGTTCATACATGACATGGGGGAAACGCCCCATTCTTCTTCACGTGTAAATGAATACAAAGCTTCAATGAAAAGGAGCTGCATGTTTCCTAGAACTCACTTGTCCTTGTTAAATGGTACAGAAATATCAAGCACATTACGCTAGCAGAGATGAGTTATTACATTAATTTTGAATGTGTGCCTGACTTGAATTCATTAATAATCGAGCTTCTTTATTTATTTTATTTATTTATTTATTTTTATTATTATTATTTTTTTTTTTTTTTTTGGGGGGGGGGGGGTGCTTGAGTCTGTACTATTATGAAAAAAGGACATTAATAAAGAATAATTTTATATGCATTTGCATGTATGTTTCAAACCAATTATTTACAGCTGTCAAAATCTGTTATCCGTGGTGAAAACCTATATTAATGGGAAAATCATGTGCAAACTTAGCACTTGATTGGCATGTACTGAATTGATTTTGATTGATGATCAAGCCATCATCAAGTGTGAATGTTTGATCACATGGGAAAGGCTCACATTTACACACACAAATGTAATCAAAGAGTGACATTTATTCTTCAATGAGTAATGATTTGTGTGAATGTTGTATTGATTGTTAGTTGGGACTGCCATCTGTATTTACATATGGGAAACAGGATAGAGAGTAAAGGAAGTGTTTTTTTACT